CGCGCATGTGCCGCTTAGTTTTATACATTTCCTAATACAATATTGGAATTCTATAAAATTCCTAGGAAAAGTATACATGTCCTAGGATATGTGCGTATTAAAAAATCTCTGAAGCAATATTTTATACATTTCCTAAATAGCTTCGGAATTGTATACATTTCCTAGGAATAGTATACAATTCCTAGAATTCATACATTTCCTGTAACATATCTATCTTTTAGTATACTCGTACCGTGCCGTGGGTGCACGTTGCATGGTTACTTATCATAGGCAATTTTGAGACCCATGTAAACGATTCTGTAAGTGCATTCTGTGCCACTCATTCTCCGGAGATAAGTGGCAGAGGATGCCTGATGGCACTAAGTTCACCTTGTGTACAATAAATGTGGCATTAAAAGCTGAATAAATTAATGAGAAGAACATAGCAGTTCGAAATTAAGGATCTATTTTGTAGTATAATAAAATATTTATTATGTACCCTGTCCCCTGGTCTATAAATATGATGAAGCCTGCAGACTTCCCGTAGACATACCCTCATTTTACAGCTCCACTCAGTGTATAATGTGCCCACATTATACATTCGCAAATAAACAAGCATTTTTACGGGCCCTGAAAATATTAGAGACGTTTTACAGGTGATATTTTCAGTGGTAAATAGTTTTAGAATGGTTTGTAAAGTGATATAGAAGTTAATGAGCAGTATTTTAAACCGGTAGATAGTGTTTTAACCGGTAAATACTTACATACTTAGTAGTGACTGAGTGAGCAGTATTTTAATCGGTAGATAGTGACTGAGTTTGTTGCGGCGCTTCTTCTCAGCACTTGCCCAATGTTTGTCTCGAAGCGCAAAAAAATGTGTGTGTGAAAGTCCCGATTTTGGTTAAATTTCTTAGATAAACGAAGATTTATAAGTATCTATTTTAAAAAAGTCTAAACTAATAAAGATTTCGATAAGATACTCTTTACTGTACACTACATAAAAGTAAAGAATTAAAACTGAAAACGACACTTTTTACACCAGTTAGGTATTTTACTAATGCGATTTTGTTCAGACAACCGAGGAAGAGGCAAGGCAAAATTCTATAGGCGGTAACTGTAGTTATTATAGTTATTCGTGTCTCCATCATCATCGTCATCAGGCCATTTAGTCTCCACTAGGAGCACGACCCTCTAATTTCATCATCATCATCATTTCAGCCATAGGACGTCCACTGCTGAACATAGGCCTGCCCTAATGCTTTCCACGTTGATCGATTGGTAGCGGCCTGCGTCCAGCGCTTCCCTGCTACCTTTACGATGTCATCAGTCCACCTTGTAGGTGGACGTCCGTCGCTGCCTCCCTCTAATTTACTAGAGGCAAATGGAGGATTTGTCCTACACTCCCCATGCTGGCCAGACGGTGGCAATTTTCTTATCATCCGTATGTGTCACTTATATTGGCATTACAATAAATACCCACTCAAAATTCAATTTCTTACCTGCATTATTCTTCGCTTATCACCCCCCTTTCCCCCCTTTTTTCCCCCATAAGCATCATTCAAAGCGATTCATGGCTTCACAATTAAGTTAACGCAATAGAACGTAAATACAGCTTAATTAGTGAACTACAGGTGTAAGGGGTGAATGGGGTTGAAAAGGGGGGTAACTTATGGGGTTTAACGATATTGGAAATTGTATGCTTTGATTTTGATAGAAATGGTAGAGATGGAAACGTTGTATGTGAAAAAAAATATGTTATACGTGAAAAATAGTTTTGTCTTTTTATTATTTTGATGAAGTTTTAGGTCCAGAACAGACGGTGAAACGCAACTGCAACGTAACTGCTACTGCTAGTTACTTTTGAGTTGCATCTAAGTTTCTGCCATAGCGTCCGTTGAGAGACCACACATGACGCGACCAGTTTGAAACTTTCAGTTTCAGTTTCATTCATCAGAATCATCACAAAGTTGCAGTTTCGTTGCAGTTGCGTTTTACCGTCTGTTCTGGGCCTTAGACACCCAACAGATTGCAGACTTTAAATCGGCCGATAGTTGTGCCCGATTCTAAATTGTATGAAGAATCGCCCGATACCAAATCGGTGTAATGTGCGCACTTTCATACATCTCCATACTGATTAACAGCCCGACACAACTATCGGCCGACTATAAGAGTAGGCGCACACCGTTCATTTTTAGTTGGCCGATAGTTGTGCACGATTTTAATTTGTATGAAGAGTCGGCCAAATCGAATCGGCGTAGTGTGCGCACTCCCATACATGCCCATACTGATCAACTGCCCGACTAAACTATCGGCCGACGAAAAATCAACGGTGTGTGCCTACTCTAAGTCTGTAGTCTTTTGTTGAAGAAACAACTACATCTTTAAAAACTTAAACTCATAAAACTCATTGATTTTTGCAAATAGGCTTTTAAAAAGCACTTTTACACGTCCCAATATTAACCCTACCACTGCTTCGGGACAATAAATGGGCCAGTGCTGAGAAGAAGCAGCGCAAGAAACTCCGTCACTAATAAAAAATTTCATTTCATTTATTCCAAAAACAAAATACATTGTATGTATTTCATGAAATAACTGATTACTAAAGTCTGTAAAAAGTCAAGTTTTATATTATTTTACTTCTTTTGCCACAATAATTAGATTTTCCCGTGAATTTAACATAAATACCAAATGTCTCCCTCACAAGCATGTGTTCGTACATTTGATTGTTGTTTCACTCTCGCACAGGGGTGGGAAAGAGACGGAGAATGATTTAACTTGACATGTACGTCACATGTTAGTAACGAGCGCTTAATTTGGCGTTTTGTTAAGGGGAAGTCTCTAATTAATAAGTATTTATCCAAGAGTTTAAACTTTCGCATTCCATTTCAACTAAAATAGAATGATACTCAATTATAATCGTCGTTGTCCAAATGATACTGAAGGGTTAAGACATGTGTCTTTACATTTAGTTAAGTATTTATCTGTAACTAATGTAGTATTAAAGTGGTGAAAGAATAGTTTATGTCAAATATCAGTGGCAGTGGATAATTGTGTGTCCGTTGGGACAGAAAAGTTCTCGAGTGGCATGACTAGAAGACTAAGGTGATGCTAAAGTCGCTGACATAGCCTGACGGATTAGCAAGCTGAAGTGGCTATGGGCAGAGCCCACAGTACGCAGAACATACCTATTGTCGATGATACTGAATAAACTTCTTTCTTTCTATTTCTTTTTTTCTTTCTTTTTCTTTCTTGCTTTTTTTCTTTCTCTCTTTTTCTTTCTTTCTTTCTAATTACATTGCAATAATTGCAAATGGCTCAAACATTCCTATCTTTTGGAACTGAGTAACCTTCCCCTTAACCCTCGTAGTACATTTGTCAAGTTTTAACTCGACAAGTTTCGGGTCAACTTGAAGTTTACCGTCGCAAAGTCAATGTTGTATTGATTGTTGATTATTAAACAGAGCCGGAAAATTAGTTTTTGGTACACTCGTTGTTTTAGAATGTATGGTTTGCACCTTGCATTCTTGACAGTTGTTTAACAGGAGTAGGCACTTAATTTATCAGATATCAAAAAGCCCAGAACAGACGGTGAAACGCAACTGCAACGAAACTGCAACTGCTAGTTACTTTTGAGTTGCATCTAAGTTTCTGCCATAGCGTCCGTTGAGAGACCACACATGACGCGACCAGTTTGAATCTTTCACCGTCTGTTCTGGGCCTTAGCCTTAATTTTATCATTTTATTTTAATTTTTTGGCCACTTGTGACAAGAAACTATTTCACACTGACTGTATTTATATGTATTGTACTAGCTTTCCGCCCGCGGCTTCGCCCTCGTGGGATTTTGTCGTCACAGAAAAACTTTATCGCGCGCGTCCCTGTTTCAAAAACCGGGATAAAAACTATGTCCTTTCCCGGGACTCAAACTATCTCTATGACTTTCATCAAAATTGGTTCAGTGGTTTAGGCGTGAAAACAAGACAGACAGACAGAGTTACTTTCGCATTTATAATATTAAGTAGGATTTAGAAAAAAGAGGATAACAATAGTGACTGACTTTTTTGGTTGGTTCTTCTCAGAACTGTCCCATATTATTATCTTAAAGCAGTGGGGGTTTAATAGTGATGTGTAAAAGCGCTTTTTAAAAGCCTAATTGAAAAAAAAAAATTACATTTAGTGAAAAAACCATACAGACAGAACCAGCTCCATTATAACCACTGGCAACATTTTCCCACAATTAAACGCTTGGAACAAGTCTATTAGTGTCGGAGTGGCCCATTTTGTCGCCATTTTGAAAATTAACCCTACCAATAAACATGTCTAGGGTGTTTTATTTAAAAGCTCTCAGGTGGGCCTAAGCGGCCGCGGCAATTTGCGATATTTTTGTTACAGTGTTGAATTATGTGGTTTTTCGTTTTAAAGAGCTGTGGTAATTAGCCTGGGGGAATAAGGGTTGTTTTAAGATGAAAATTGTTATAAAAGGGGTATTATTTAGTTAAAATTGAGACACCTGTGGTATGCTCAGGTTAAAGAAAGACATCAGATAAAAAAGGTGAGGTCTAAAAACACACTAGCAAAGAACTGGCTGAAAATTTACAATCCCGGTGACCCCTTGTGCCCCAATATGCATGGGTTATTCGGATCTCAACTCGATCAGTCCGAATCAGCCGTTGTCACAAAAACAGCATCGTGTCGTGGCACACTTTTTGTCTTTTGCTTACTTGTTACATATAGGATATAGGAAAGTTAAACTGTCATTGCGGGTCCAATGACAATTTAACTTTCTCCCGGGACAAACTTGACCTTCACTGGTTGCGTTACTGGCGGTCAAGCAGTAGATCCTGACTACACAGGAGTTGCAGCGGTGGGAAAGAGAGGTGGGAATAGTCCCGTTACTTGTAACATTTGAAATACTTTGTGCTACATAAACAATTCCTATTATATTCCAATACATTTACCCATTTACAGTATTTCAAATATGTGTTCCTGTGTGTGTATATTTTCATTACATTTTTGTTCCAGAACTCTCTAGAGGAGTCTGGGTTGGACAGCGGGCTGTCCAGCGTTCTGGACGCTGACAAACTGAACGATGGACTGAGCAGCGAACGGTTGAGAAGTTAGTTGTAGTTGTGTTTAAATTTCACTTTCCTATTAAATTAAAAACTAATTTTAAGTTTTCTTCTGTGTCTGTCTGCAATTATATTTTTTTAGATGATGCGAATTGCATTTCACCATAATTGAATTGAAATTACTTTAGCTTAGAAATCTTTGTGGTTTTAATCACTGACAATTTTGGTCCAGTCAGAGTCAAATAGTTTGTGAGTCCCAAAGTGGAAAAACGTTTCCAGTTTTTCAACAAATCCAATTGTAAAAAGACGTGTGACTTTTTGGCTACTTTGGGTGTCACAAACTGTTTGACGCTGACTGTACAATGAAGTTTAAAAATTGCAGATTTCTACAAAAAACTTATACAAACCGATGCGCAAATTCGCAATTTGAAGAAAGGCGCCAACGAATACGCGCCTACAAATTACGAAAACAAATTCAACCCCGACCGATCCAAAAGGTCTTTACGAATTCGTAATCCTAAAGCTCTTCTTCGTTACAATTCCAAGAAAGAAGTTGACAATGTACAAACTGACAATGATTTACTGACAGACAATAATGGGCCTAGTCCAAATGTAGCAGAACTCAACAAATTCAATATCTTCTACCCTCCATACTCAAGTGTTAACGTATCTAACAAAAATAATAAATACAAAAGATTTGTCAATGGTTCAGACGAGCCGACAGGGTTTGTCATCGAAAAGAAGCAAATATTAGTTCAATACAAACCTCATGACACCGAGAAGCAAAAGAAAGTGCCGAAATGCTCTCACGCGCCGAAAGACTCGAAATCCCACGAAAAACAACTGAAGCATCCATTCTACAAAAACAGCCAAAGACTCGACGAACTTCTAGATCAGTTTCTAGACAAAAGTCTACCAGAAATGATGGCTGACCCATTTGGGGTCGATGTCCTTTTTAAACATAAGAATAAGGACGTCAAAACGCATAAAACTAATGTTAAAATTGAAAATGAGAAGACTACTAAGAAAGCTATATCAAAGTTTAAGTATAAAGATGAAAATAAGTTATTTGGGACTCATCGCGGAGATAGTAGAGTTGAAAATAATCGAGCAGGAGAGAAACGAGTTGGGGAGTTGGACAGAGAATTCTTCAATATGATTTCGAGTAAGAAGAAGGGGAAAACGTCAAGCTCAAGTGCTACTCCAAGCTATGACGTGATATTGAGTGTGTCTACGATTGTGTGAGTATATTATGGGCTCTTTCAAATTTGAAGTTTTGAAAAGAAGTCATTCGTGCATTTGCAAGCCCGCACATAATTATTCCAACGCAGTTGTCATATAATTTTCTGTGTGCGGTCTTGCAAACGGACGACTAACGCCCGGATCAAAACGCCCTAATAGAACGGCTAGCTAGGAGATATCCTAGAACAATGGTCTTATTTTGGCTTCCTTTTCTAAAACCAAGAAAAGAAACCTTTTTTAATACCACTTTTTTATATACATTATACCCTAATTTATATCAAATATTCAGCTCTACAGTCCCTTGGATTTGTAAAAAAAATATTTCTACAGTGCCAAGAATACTTAGTTTGGTCGTTATGATTTTTTCCTACATTATTATTTTGTCCTTCTACACAGAAATAATGGACAGCGTAAGATATCAAAACCTATGAACGTAATGGGGCACACGCCAAGTCTGCTGAAAAGAGTGCCTCACCTCAGGAAGCTGATGCAAGTTGAGGAGGAGGATGAGGAGGGACTTGGCTATGAAGACGTGAATGAGGTGCTCGCTGATGATAATGAAGGTCACGATGATACGGATAAGGGACAAGATAGGAAGAAGCGAATGGATGTTAGTAGAGATCTGAGATGTTCTTCATTAAAGTGGCATTATGGCCTCCTCAATCGTTTTGGCTTTGCCTCTGGTAAATTAGATGGAGTCTTATTCCTTCAGTGGAGACTAAATGACCTGATGAAGGGCCAGAGCTAGTGATAAGTATTTTAGTCATAGACATTCCAAAATAAGTGATTATTTACTTGAAAAAAGTTCAAGATCTTTATACTGTCTCATGCTTTGGGGCAAATTAGATTTAATTGTAACAATACATAATCCCATCTTAGGCTAAGTTGCACCACCTCTACCTTAACCGTAACTATAACCGATGTTTTTTATAAAATTTGACCGTGCAAACCAGCCTTAACTATTAGTAGTTTCAGGATTATAAAGTAGAAGACTTCAAGGTCCCAAGCAACCCTTACAAATACAATCCACCTGGTGTCCACAACCCGAACTGGAAAGGCCCCATGCCTTTATACCCTGACGAGCTCTCTTCAATGATCAAACAAGCAGCCATGCAGAACGTCCAAAATTTCAACAAAATCTACCTCCCAGCTAATACTAAAGACGCGTCATCTGAAGCGGACAATTCCGAGACCGAACTAAACGATATGGAGTACATTGAGAACTATTCGGATAATAAATTTGAGAATTTGGCAAGAATGGCGCAGGTGTACAGTGATTACGGGGTACTGGAAGGCAGGAAGGAGCAATCGAGGAATGAGAAGGCAACGGATGGGAAGAATGCTGAGAGAAGAATCAAATTGTCTGTGAAAGGACGGTCGTTCAAAGACGCGCTGTTTGACCGATTCAAGAAAAGTAAGTCTGATAACAATTAATTTGTAACACTGTACAGACAGGATTAGACAGGATTGTCTCATCTCTGTATTACCCCTGAAGTCGATTAGTAGCTGCTGCTTTTCATAAAGTTTTCCAATTTAACTTCTTGTTCCTATAAAACTCTTTTCTCTAACTTTTGGTAACAAAACAATGCTTATGTTCCTTATCTATTTAAATTTAAAATAATTTATTATAATATTTCAGGCAAAGTGTCAGAAGGTATCAGATTTGAAATACGCCCAACAACTCCTTCCAGAGAGGACAGTCCCATCGAGCTTATGAAAGTGTTAGAAAAGCACGTGAAAGTAACCAAAAACAAATACTTTCCGCCGTTCCATTCGACCACTTTGCCTTTAAATACTGATTATGCTTTATTCAGCGCAATACAGAAGCAACAAAGCCAAATGATGGCGAACGATGCAAGTACCAAGAAGGGAGAACAACCAAACGAATATCCAGACAACGCTGTAGTGTTTACATTAGCTAAAAGTGGCAGGAGATCCTTAAAATCTGTACCTGATGAGGAAAACTACAAGAGTAATGAAGAATTCGTTGAAAATGAGAAAAGTTTGGAAGATAAACTGATTGTTAAAGGTATAAGCGGTCTTGGGGCGATTAAGGCCGATGATAAACCAAGCACTGATAAGAATACCAAAACTGCTGAAGAGCATCACCACCATCACCATAAGCATCATCATCACTCTGATCATCATCATCATAACATCAGTAGTGTGAACGAAACTACAAACAAATTGGAGATCATTGAAGAAAAATCTTTGATTTTGAATGAAACAGACAGACTCAAAGAAAATGTAACAGCAAATAATGCAAGTGATAGTCATTCAAATGGCCTAGCAGTTATTCCCGATAACAACTTAATAGCAACTATTTTAAATCTAAATGCACCAAGGAATAAGTCAGAAATGGATCTCAGTGACTTCTTTATGCTGATGTCTAACTGGTTCAGTGTCATGGCTGGATTGGACACTAGTTCTGAGACAAATGAACCTAAGTAAGTTTATTCATGTTTATGTATCAATGAAAAAGACATGCTAAATGGTATTGTGCACTTTGTCATCGATTACATTTTATAAATCATAATTATTGTTCTGATATTTATTAGCTACACTGTCTTCATCATCATCATTATCATCATTTCAGCCACAGTACGTCTGCATTGTCTTTTATTAGTTTTCCATTATGGACTAAATACTACACACATTCTTACGTTTATTGTGTTTTAATTTTCCAAATTACTGTTTTAATGTAGGTATTTGTAATCCTTACCACTACAACACTTTGTAAAACCTTTTAAAATATCATTAAGTTTCAATCATTTAGTGGAATAGATTGATTAATAAAAATATGAAATTCTTTAGCCACACATCGTTTAAAAATAGACGTTGAATAGAAAATAATATGTAAATAAAGGCATTAATTTCAGATCAAATATAATCAAACTAATAACCAAATCAGATGCGAGTACAACACCAACGAGCAACGATTCTATCAACATTGAATTTCCCATGTACGACTCGGATATGATAGAAAATATAGGACATAGATCAAGGGTACTTATGGCCATAGAAGATAGTGATAAATCTACTGAAAATGCTGTCAGTGAAGTAAATACAAGCGTTATGAATGGGAAAGATGAAATAACCAGTGCTAGTCCAGGTAAGTAATTAATCAAAATTTTGGAGAGAAGTATTCTACGAGCACCCGCCCAAATAGCACCTGACCTATTCTTTAGAGCACCTATCGATATAAAAATAAATGACGTTCCACGAAAAATTATAGGTGTTCGAAGAGGAAAAGGTCAGGTGCTATTCGTGAAGGTGCTATTATAGCGGGTGCTCAAAGTGGAATACGTCATTTTGGAAGCTAAATATCCAATTCCACAGCATTTCGACACAGATACCATTGGGTTTTTGTCGCTATCAGGATTTTTTTTACATTGATGATTACAAGTTCGTTTTAAATTATTTTTACAGTGATCACAATCAATAAAGAAGACGTAAGTACAACAACAGCTTTAACTTCTGCTACAGAAACCATAACCGCTATAGCGACTCAATCCCAACCAGCAGAAAAACTCATTCTTACCAAAAACGAAGTAACTTTTGATAACAAAACTGTAGTCAAAAGAAATATACCTGAAGATAGCAATTTGATTTTCTGGAATGACATTTACGACGATGAATACGGTGTCAAAATGGAACCCATAGACAATACAGTCATAGACAAAAGGAACTCTAAAAATCTAAACTTTATGAAGAAATCAGGAGATTGGATACACGAGAAAGTGAAGAATATTGCTAACAATTTTCGAGGGAAAGATAAATTTGAGAGCAAGTATAAAACGAAACAAAGGAGGGTGATGCGCAGAGCGAATTACAGGCAAGCAGTTTTCCTGTAATACAATTATTTGTCAGTTATTAGAGCCACAGAAGACATGCTATTTTTAGCATCGGAAATCAGCGATTAAGCTGCTTTTTCCCTGACTGCACCAGAAGGACCCTCCTTCTGGCGCAGTCAGAGAAATGTTTTTAGAATCTGAATTTAGCGAGCATACATTCCACACCGCACACGTAAAAATGCCAAACGTGGCGATTGAGTCTCTTTTCTGACGCTCTGCAGCAACAACAGTCGCTAAAACGTGCGATTCTAACACCGTGTCCGAACGCACGAAGTCGCAAAATCGCTATGCTGCATCGATAATGTTGCTCTTGTGTTAATTATATTACCATTTCCAGAAACTACATGTATACCAAATACAACAAAAGGGCAGCTAGATATGAAGAAGTAAGTATAGATTTAACCACAATTAATTCCTTTTTACAAATAAAAGAACAGTTCTCATTTTAGGCAGATGCAGATGAGAAAACTGGCAGTTTTGCACAACTGACAGTTAAGATGAAGGAGGTATGCAAAGAAGCCGCAAAAGCTGTGCAGCAGACCAAAAACGTTCAAGGTGAGATGTCAAAAAAAAACGGGATACATTCCTCATAGATGTTATTTCCATTTTAGTGGCCAACTTATCTGGTCAGCATGAGGAGTGTAGGCAATTAAAAGTCCTTCATTTGCGTTTAGTAAATTAGAAAGTAAGAAAGAAATAAATAGTAATTTCATGTATGCGTGTTTGTCTTGTTGGTTGTCCTAATAAATAAAATAAAATAAATAAATATTTATTACGATGAACAGCACTCAGAGAACAAAGAAAGTATACGGAAGAAAGACAGAATTAGCACATACGAGTAAATATTACAAAGAAATAAAAAGTGAACTGAGCAGTGCCACGGCCACCCTGTTGCAACAGCGATACCCATTGCATCCATCACAATAGGACTCCACTCAGCATATGCCGTGGCCCATGGTGGGGAAGGCCACGACGCTGGTTTTCAAATTAGAAAGGGTTATGCTCCTGCAGTGGAGACTAAATGGCACGAGGATGATGAGTAGTAGTCGCTTATTCTTTGTTTTGTCACCTGTCATCCGCTTTGCACTGGAGGAAAGTCGAACCTTAACTTTGTCCTCCTATGTCCTTCTGATTAATTTCGTTGCGGGTCCAATGACAGTACTTTCTCCGGGGCAAACTTGACCTTCACTGGTTGGGTTATTAGCGGTCAAGCTGTAGATCCTGGCTACACAGTAGTTGCAGCGGTGTTAACGAGAGGTGGGAATAGTCCCGTGTCAATTAAAAAATGTTATTTATATTCCCACACAGTGCGTCAAGATGAGAAGGAAGACAGCATGACGACATCCCTGATGCAGCAGCTAGTGAGGCTCATGACGGACCTCATTGACTTCCAGGTGCAGCAGAAGACTTGTGTCAGTGAGTACAAAGTCAAAGTCAAAGTCAAAATTTCTTTATTTGTTTGGACTAATAAATAGTTCTTACAACTCGTCATTTTGCTCTTAAGGAGCCTCTACATGTCTCATAATCTTTTTACCCTACCAGCGCTTCGAGACCAACATTTGGCAAGTGCTGAGAAGAAGCGCCGCAACAAACTCAGTCACCACTGTCTGCCGGTTAATATAAATAAATAGAAATAGTAGTAGTAGGTACATTCGATTCAGGAGCAGTTCACTGAATTTACCATGCATTCTTGTATGGTGTATCTTATAAGAATGGGTATACAAGATTGCGTGGTATATTAAACAAGGTAGTGACGTGCTAATATCTAGACTTACATATTAAGATACTAGTAGAAATGACTCGCATACATAAATTTGAATAACTTGGATTGACCAGTCCCCGAAAGCAGCGCCTGTTCACAGACATGACGAGTGAACCAGCCATCGCTTCACTCGACCATATTAGAGGGAATGTAACGACCCGCCTCACTACGCCACCACCCCAGAGACATTTTAGTGAGAATGACAATTCCAAGTTATCTCTTTTAAAAAAAAAAACTAATAATAAAGCTAAGTAACAGTCCAGATTGAGAAGCATGACACTATAACATTTGAGAAATTATTATTAGTTTATACATTACTTTTCATTTTAATTCTTTTTAGTGCGAGCATGAGAGGACCATAATCCTACTCCCAGGATGACTTATCATTAAGAAAATCTCGAGTTGTATAATAGGCTTTTTTAAGCATGTGATCTTTAACTATATCTTTAAATTTATTATACGGTAGCTCTTTATATTTATCAGGGACTTTGTTATAAAAATGGATACCTTGTCCCATAAAAGAGGCAAACACTTTATTAAGTCTAAAGGCGGGTATAGCCAATTTATTTTTATTTCTAGTGTTAATTTGGTGAATATCACTTTTCTTTTTGAATTCAGTAATATTTTTTTGAATAAATAGAATACAGTTTAAGATGTATTGTGAAGCGGCCGTGAGAATGCCAATTTCTTTAAACAATTCTCTAAGGGATGCTCTTGCTTTCATTTTATACAAGTATCTTATCGCACGTTTTTGTAAAATAAATATTGTTTCAAAATCTGCAGCTTTGCCCCATAGCATGATTCCATATGACATTAGGCTATGAAAGTAGCTAAAGTAGACTAAGCGAGCTGTTGAAACATCGGTTAATGACCGTATCCTTTTTATTGCAAAAGCCGCTGAGCTGAGCTTTCCCGCCAGAGTTTCTATATGGTACAAACTTATTATTAAAAAAAAAATGCATAAACTTGTTACAAATCCGTGTTGACATCCTTCTGGTTGTTCCTTACAAAGCCTTATAATTTAGATTGCTTGGAGGGGTTCAAGTCAGCTAAATGATAATGCTTTGTAAGGATTGGGTTTAACACAATACAGCCCAGTGGACGATAGAAATCGGACTAGCGATTCACGAATTTTAAATCGGCAGTCCAATGCATCAAACAGTGGTTTCGCTGTTTAGTGGAAAGTATGACTCATTCGACTTGTAGATTCTTGATGCAAGTCCCAAGCTTATGATTTTTATCCAAGTGTTGTTCGTTTTCCTAACTAGCTTGCTTGAAGCAACTTGATGGTCTATGTGAAAATGAAAATTCCGTTTTTTTTATCTTTGGACAATTTCCATTTCGGATTTTGGTTTTAGAACTACCTCCGGATCTGCAAGACTTTCTCGTATGGCTGACTAATCCGAATTCAGATCAAGAAGTGGAGTTCAGGGATCAAAAAATGAGTTACCGTGAGGACAACAACTATGGTAACTGAGCATTTACTTATTTAACTATCGTTCCTAAGCCTTGAGTAGTCACATAATTAAGAAAGTTCTGACAGAGTAGAATAGGACCATCTTCGTTTTCCCGTGTGGAAGTCATTAGAAGCAATTAAGGGACAAAATATTCGAACATCAGGCCTCCCCAACCCGTCTGGCCAGAGCGTGGGGAGTGTAAGTCAAATCCTCCATTTTCCTCCGATAAATAAAAGAAGGTTTAGATCTTGTAGTGGAGATGAAATTTTTGAGTGAATAATCATTTTCAGGGCACCTTTTGTACAGTCGCGGAATGAAAAGGTTCGTCACCTTAGTGTCGGTTTTCGCTTGCACTAGGTACTGTAAGAGTCAAACCTGCCAACATTACAGTGCAAGAAACAGTGCTGCTAACATTTAAATAAATATGACGTTTGCTAACGAATAAGGTTTTGCTTGTTTATTTTTCTATCCCATCAGTGCAATAATGTTACAAAATGTAGTTTTTTTTATAGAAATAATAATGGCAGGTTGAACCAAAAATAAGGTTTTAGTTTATCAATCAAAATAATCTCTTGACAAGAAAAATCGTCAAACAACTTCGATCTAAATAATTTTGAACTTTACTAAGGAACAGTTAAAGATTATTTTCTCTAACTCGAGATTATTCTGTAACATAGTTTCAAAAGGTAATATGTGCTCGCGATTCGTTGAAGGAGTCAATTTGAAAACTGACGAACCTTTTCATTCCGTGACTGTACCATCCTTGAGTGCATCTCATTTAACATCAGGTGCGATTGCGGTCAAATACCTGCCGTGTTCTGCATAAACAAACCTGATGATGTTGATAATGTCTGATCCATATTACAGAGAAGCCTTCAGACCAGATCCTGGACTTGATATCAACGCCATCTAGTGAAAAGGAGGAGATACATGGAGATAGCAGGTCGGAGTGCTTGGGCACGCTCCATGCTGTCCAGGATCTCATGCAGCAGTACGATGAGATGACTGACGAGGATAAGGTTGGTAAAACTAAATTTCTAGAGCTCTTTTTAGCACTGAGGAGAGAAAACATTTTATAAAACCTATGTATTTACTACCCGATCGAGCTAACTGTAAGGCTAGCACGAAAAACTTTCGAGTTCGAATCGTTTGCGTATTCGAATCGTCATCAAAAGATTTTGTACAAAAACTACAACAGCGCCCTTGTGAACGTGTCATAAAGTGAACCTATAATGAGAAATGGTTGCACGAAACTTATTTTGAGAATCAAAATTATCACTTTATCGTTTAATTCGAAGATTTAATATCGAATTTTGTCGAGTACGCAAACGATTCGAAAACGAAAGTTGTTCATGCTAGAGGTACAGCGCACCTCGCTGGAATGCGACTCTCCCTCGCACTCACCCGCACACTTCCCCGCGTTCGTCCCGTCCGTACCAGAGCGTCGATGTGACGTCATGGCTGCCTGGTAGGCATTTACAATACCCGGCGATAAATATTGCACATCGAGCTTAAGAAAGAGAAATCTGCTAATTTCGGTTTCGTAGAGCGTTATCTCTGTCGCACTTGAACAACGACTGACAATTACGTTTTGTCAGTGTAAACAAAATTTATTTTAAATGAGTGCAATTGATTTTGTAAATTAAATTGCTAAAAACTTTTTATAGTCGTGAAAGAAAAGTGGTTCACAATATGTTAAAGTATTTGTCGAAGAGAAATAGTAATGGTTCGGACAATATTTTCATTGAATAATGTTTTGTCAATGACGTTTTGTCAATCGTATAGGTAGTGTGCGACAGAGATAACGCTCTACAAGCCGAAATTAACCGATTGTCTCTTTCCAAAGGTCGATTTGCAATATTTATTGCCGGGTACTGTAACTCCACCGGGTCGTAGATATAATGACTTATGACTTTTGTTGAAAATTTGCCAAGCTTTGTCTGGCCGATTACTAAATGACCTGATGATGAATTATTTTCAGAGTAAAATGACTGGAATCAGAGACTACTTAGAGAATCAACTACAGTTTCTTCATAAACAGCTCGCTACTTTCAATGATTACAAGGTAATTATTACTATGTTCTTTTAATTTTCTATGCATACATTTTTCACAATCTTAAAGCTTGTCACTTACGTAACAAACATTACTATGAGGTCTCACAGTGCGCGTGGACGCACGAACCAATCGCAGAGCTACGCTGTGCACTAAATTTGCTGCTTCACTTATGCAAGCATAGTTTGTGAATACGGGCGTTACTCTTTGACTGTTTTCTCAAACTTTGATGTTTTAGTTCAATGCAGTGTTTAAATAGCTTATTAGACCACTGTTTCAACACTGTATATCCCATACATAAGTGACTAATTTATATTTCAGATGACAAACATATTCGAAGACCAAAACCCGTCTTACCGCTTTAGAAGAGAAGTACCAAAACAGAACTGCAGACGCAGAAGTAACCAAATCAAAAGCAGACGAAATAGAAACAGATTCAAGAGGAAATTCCTGAAGAATTTTGGCAAAAAACACACTAGAACTACAGCTAGTATCTACGATGGATTCGCCATGACAGAGGTTAATAAATTCACAAAAGATGACAAATATGGGGCAGAAAAAGATGGTAAAGATGTTAAAAGGAATCTTAAAGATGTTTATTATAAGGCCCTGAATGACGCGAAGAAATCTACCACTTTTAAAACGGCGAGCAAAGACGAAATGGAGGGGTTCGATCATGCTCAAATTGTTAGAATGGATAACTAAATATCGGAAGCTAGCGTACAGAACAGCACAAATTGAGGCATGTCTGCCTGTCTGTATGTCTGTGTCCAGCAGGAAGACACTCAACGCATGACAAATGATTCAAATGTCGATTATAGTCCCACGATTCTGAAACGTCAAGTGGTAAAAATCTAGAAACTAAACCCAGCATTAGGTACATATTGTAAAGCCCTCACACTCACTGCGGGTTCCAGTCGCACAGTCGCGACAGCAATATAATTACGCGCGAGCGATAAGGATGGGCAGCTTGGGGTCATTGGACGAAATTCTACGTGCTCACAGACCAGACTATAGTTAGCTACAATATCTACATCTTGCTTAAGCAAGCGAGACAGAGCGAACTCCTCCTTTGTTCTTCTGTTTAATTTCATTACGGGTCCAACGACAGTTTAACTTTCCCCCGGGACAAACTTGCCCTTCACTGGTTGGGTTGTTGGCGGTCAAGCTGTAGATCCTGGCTACACAGGAGTTGCAGCGGTGGGAACGAGAGGTGGGAATAGTCCCGTAGCGAAGGAACTTGCTAATTTATGCGCTATGCCTGTAATTTAGACATTTTTTACTCTTTAAAAAATGCTCAAATAGTCCTTATTCTCTTGTGTCTCTTTCAGTAATGTCCAAGTATATTTTTGTACGCAATTTAAAGAATAATTTTAGATCTTTGTATTTATAGGTTTTACGTGAGGTTGAATAAAGTAATTATGGATCATATTTCACTTCTTTTATTATTTATTTTGTTCATAGATTATAATAATTAATCCATTATTCCCATCTGCCCCCTTTGAGGTTGCAACCGGGGTGGTGGTTGGCACTAAATAGATGGCGTTTATATTCCCATCTGGCCCCTTCGGACATTGCCACCGGGGTGGTGGTTGGCACTAAATTGGTGGCGTTTACCACCCTGGTGGCAAATGCCACTTATTTTGTTTCATCTGCCCCATAGTTAGGAGCTTTTTGTCAGCCGAAAGTTTGGTCGTGCTGTTAATCAGTATAAACATATGAAAGTGCGCACATTACACCGATTTGGTGTTGGCCGATTCCTTATACAAATTATAGATCGTTTTATCTACGAAGACGCGCCCCACCATTCTTCCGCTAATGTTTGAGTGCTATCGGTACACGCTAAATGATCCATGAGTGCACACGCACACTACAATAATGACGCACGGATTGCTCGGATCAAACTCCCTCACATCAACATTCTTGGTAATCACTAGATGCTAAACTTCAGTGGGGTCCTCATACGCGTGAGCACGTAGAATTTTGTTCAATGACCCCAAGCTACCCATTCTTATCGCTCGCGCGTAATTATGTAGCTTGGGGTCATTGGACAAAATTCTACATGCTCACGTACCAGGCTTTAGTAGTTTTTCTTAAAAATCTTAACAAATAAGTACACTCGAAATGCCTCAGACAACAAAAACTTTCAATTTAGTTTCACTCAACATCACAAGCGATTAAACTGTTAAAGTCATCAAAAACATGGGAATAAAACATCTTACATCTCACAGTCTTCCACCAGCACTTCAACCTTGACATTTCCTTACAAATTCGCTCTTATTTCTTTATAGATAAGGACTGTATTAACTTAAACATGTAACACTTGATGTGCTTGGAAGAAGTCTTGCAGCAGCCCTCGGGATTTGCAATAAAATGCAGCAATACCGTAAAAGCAATGCCATTACAAGGTAATATTTCACTCTGGAAGTAATAAAGTGCAGGCGCACCCTGTATTATTAACTAGTTTTCGTCTGTAGTTACAGGAAACTGGGGAGTTACAAGTCTAGCGCTTAAGGCCCAGAACAGATGGTGAAACGCAACTGCCACGAAACTGCAACTGCTAGTTACTTTTGAGTTGCATCTAAGTTTATGCCGTCCGTTGAGAGACCACACATGACGGGCCCAGTTTGAAAGTTTCTGCAACTGAAAAGTAACTAGCAGTTGCAGTTTCGTTGCGTTTGCGTTTTACCGTCTGTTCTGGGCCTTACTGGGTCTGTGCCTGTATGGGCGCGGCATAGGAAGGGTGATGTGACGTAACAGAGCTTTTATAGACCCAACTAGCGGCCGCCCGCGACTTCGTACGCCTAGATCCCGTTTTACCCCCTTAGGGATGGAGTTTCGTAATAGCCTTTCTTAGCGGATGCCTAACGGGTCGGACACTGGTGACCGGACACACTGTATATACTGAACTGTTATTTATTTATTTATTTATTTGAAGTCCCGCTGACGCGTGCCGCTCCCATACCTCTCGCCCGTATTCACAAACATTACTATGAGGTCTCACAGTGCGTTGATGCACAGGGTGACACACAAACCAATCACAGGGCTCTATTCAACGCTGCTCGTCTGATTTGCTGCTTCGCTTAAGCAAGCATCGTTTGTGAATACGGGTGTGACTCAGTTAAGCTCTCTAGTACGTAGACCTGAGAAAATATTTGTCTGTTTGTATTGAATCGACTCCGAAACTGCTGAACCGATTCGAGAAATTCTATCACCATTAAAATGCTTCATTTTTTCTGATGGCCATAGCCGGTACGAAGTTCGCCGGGTGTAAAACTTTTGCCATTTACAAAATTCAATTGTAACCAAAGTTCTCTTATAACACGCGTATTCACAAACGATGGTTGCTTAAGTGAAGCAGCAAATCGAACGCACTGCGTTGAATAGAGCTCTGTGATTGGTTCGTGTGTCATCCTGTGCGTCCACGCATACTGTGAGACCTCATAGTAATGTTTGTAAATACGGGCGTTAGCCTTAGATAAAACATTATAGTCGCGTAAACCGAGTCTAAATGGCGCTAGACGGTGTCCATCCATTTTTAAATTCAATACTGTATGAGTGTCTCCGTTTGCGGTAACGAGCCTGGAGACTGTCCCTGGGCTTGGGTAGGGTGGCCATGATTGTAGTAAAAGTGTGGACAATGCAGGATATAATTTTCCATTTTTGATTTGAAAAAAAAAAAGAGTGAATAATAAATAAGCATGGCAGCGTGGGATCACCTACAAGGTGGACCGACGACATCGTAAAGGTAGCAGGGAAGCGCTGGACGCAGGCCGCTATCAATCGATCAACATGAAAGCATTGGGAGGCCTATGTTCAGCAGTGGACGTCCTATGGCTGAAATGATGATGATGATGAATAATCATAAAACAGGTATTTGACAAGGAATTTCCGATTTTTCTTTAATGTTATTTTGTAATCCCCATAAGAGTAATTTCTGCCTGTTTCCTTCAATATTATTTTGTAATCCCAATAAAGAGTGAGAGAATTTCGATAGCGACACGATAGCCCAACGGTGAAGTGGTCGGAGTGGCCGACTCGAGATCCGAATCCCACCGTCGCTCGACTATTGTGGTGAGCCCACTCGTAACACAAGCTTATTTAGCTTACCATGAGGGGCTAACGGGACTATTAGTAATTTGTGCAATACAAATTGTAAATAATGTTTTTATAAAAAAAATCAGCCTGAGATCTGCCTACATCACACTTATCACGTTTTCCGGTCCGTGGTCGCTACTCGAGAATTTTCATCCCGCGTTTTTCATGTTTAGTCTTACCCTATCTACCTGGCAGAATCATGAAAAAAATTAAATGACTGTAGTAGTTGTACCAGGCCACGGAACAATTATCATCTAAAGTCATTTGGTTCGAAATAATGTGGTTTTGAAATTAGTCATTAGATTTTCAATTTTCCTAACTCCTGGAAAACTTCCAAATGACTGGAGTACCAGTAAAACAAGCAATTTTTGTAAACACATTTTGGCATGGCTTGACTTAGGTAAGGTTCTATATTATGTCCTCTAGATGGGGTAGAGGAGGTTCCACAACAGTCCTCCATCGCGTTCGGTCTTGAGCTTCGCGCTTGGTCTCGCTCCAGGTCTTGACGATTTTTTCTAGTCTTGCCTTTTGGCATGAAGCTTAAAATTAATGATTTAATAGTCTCTCCCAAACCCTGGTCACCCTATTTTAAGTGCTGTTAAAGTAATTTTATTGTACATTGACACGAATGTGGTCTCGTACCCCGAATCATCTCTTAAATGTTGTCCCAGGGGAAAAGGCTATTAATGCACTATAATAAGTTACTTATTATTTTTTTATTGTTTATCTATCCATAATATAAAAATTAATCGCAAAACATGTTGGTAAGCGTACAACTCAACAACGCAGGGATGTTTCCTGGGTAAAAAAGCATGAGTTTTAATTAGTCCGTCAGTTTATCAAAATTACTCGACACTTATTTTTCACTTTTTAAAACTAATGAAAATGTAAAGAGATAAAGCGTGCCAAGGTTCTAAAGAAAAGGCCCGTGACGTCAGTGACTGCGTAAAAGTGCAGCACTTTGTGACGTCACGCGGAACTTCAACGGACTATAACTTTGTAATTATTTGTTTGATTGACAATTCAAAATATACGTGTCCAATATTTTTTTATATTAAAATTGACAGACTAAAAAATTTTTTTTAGGAAACTAGCCTATTTTACAATTCTTTTTTTTATGTTCGTTGAAGTCCAAGATTGGATTTTACGGCGAGAAAAAATCGAATATTTTCCGGGAAAATCCTAATAACAGCCCTTCTTTCACGCGGGCGGAATGCTAGAAACTCACACACGTATTCACAAACGATGCTTGCTTAAGTGAAGCAGCAAATCGAAAGCACAGCGTTGAATAGAGCTTTGTGGTTGGTTCGTGAGTCACCCTGTGCGTCCACGCGCACTGTGAGACCTCATAGTATTGTTCATGAATACGGGCGTCAGTCACTACTGGTATCAAATACCCAATTCTTGTGTCAAAATCCTTCATAATAACTATTAGATCTCTAAACTTATGATATACTAGCTTTCCGCCCGCGTCTTCGCCCGCGTGGAATTTTGTCTGTCACAGAAAAACTATATCGCGCGCGTCCCTGTTTCAAAAACCGGGATAAAAACTATCGTATGTCCTTTCCTGGGACTCAAACTACCTCTATGCCAAATATCATCCAAATCGATTCAGAGACAGATAGACAGACAGAGTTACTTTCGCATTTATAATATTAGTATAGATATACACTCGACAGCAAATAAATCGAACCACCCGCGACGCGAACTTTAAAGATTACCTTTTGACACAATAATGGTGCCCCAACAATATTGGTGTTATTTGAAAGCCCAATAAATATCCTTAAAGAAAAACACATTTAATTTCTTAATAAATGATTAACATATACCATAAATGTGACTTGAAAAAAGACCTC